GACTACAAAAAAAAGGGGGGTGGTTTCGGGAAAAAAGGGGTTTTTCCCCCCCAACCCTTTTGGGGGGGGGATCCAGTAGTTTTAAAGGGCAAAATTGGGAGGGGGAGAAAACCCCAGCCCCCCCCTTCTTTGGGGGGCCAAAAAAAAAATTTCGGGGGGGGGGGTTTTTCCCCCCCTCCCTTTTTCTTTTCAAAAGTCGAAATAAAACCCCCTTGGGGTCGAAAGGTGGGGGGGGGGCCATTCCGGGGGGTTTGGGGCCCCTTTTTTCCCCCCCTTTGGGGCCCCCCCCGGGCCCCAAAGGCCCGGGGGTTCCGCCCCGGGAGGGTTTGGGAGGGGGTTCCCCCCCATTTTTTTTGTTGAGGGAAGGGGAATTTTCCAAAAATTTTCGGGGGGGGGGATGGGGGGGGGTTTGTTTTTTAAGATCCGAAAGAGAAAAGTTTGGGCCGGCAAAGGGGAACCGTTTCAGGGGAAACCCCCCCCCCCCCCCCCCCTCGGTGTTTGCCATCGGGGTTGGGTTTTCGTCGCTTGGCAACGACGTTGTAAAACAAGCCAATTCACTTCGTGAACTCGGCAACCAGGTTACCGTTTGTTTTTTTTTATTCCCTCGTTTTTTTTTTTTGGCGGTAACCCATAATGGTGGTCGAGTAGATCCATGTTGTGCGGGGTGGAGAACCCTCACTCCCGCGCAACGGGGGATGGTCGCACCACGTTGTGTTAAAATGGTCAAGCATCCTCGAGGCAGTTACACAGTGCTTACAACTGTCTCTGGAAGTGAAAGCACCAGAAAATAAAATAAGTCATACGTAGCTGTAATCCGTACGCAAGGAAGTAAGCACAAGATGCCGAACACCCTTAGCAGGATGCAGCTCACCCTTCATGCGACTCGCCAAATACCTCACGGCGCTTCGCGCTTGGTGATGTGAGAGCCTGGTCCGGTGAGAACCCGGCGTGCTCCGTCCCGGCTTTGTAGGGATGCGAGGTCAATGGTCTAACGACTACGGCATGCACGACTTAGGGGTCCCCCCCCCCCCCCCCCCCCTTTTGGGCATCCTTCCGACACGGATGCCTACGTGGTGAGGCTTTGACACGCCTCGAGGACGTGTTAACCCCCTCGACGGCGCTCTCAAGGAGCAAACGTCCACGATGTTGATTGTCTGTTTGTCTTTCTGCGTCCCTCTATCTCTGTCTATCTGTCTCTCTCCCCCTGTCTGTCTGTCTGTCTGTCTGTCCGTCAGCCTGCCTGCCTGCCTCCGTCCCTCTCTGTCCGTCTGTCTGTCTGTCTGTCTGTCTGTCTGTCTGTCTGTCTGTCTGTCTGTCTCTCTCTCTCTCTCTCTCTCTCTCTCTCTCTCTCTCTCTTTCTATGTGTTTCTCTCTCTCTCTCACCCTGTCTGCCTCTATCTCTGTCTGTCTCTCTCTCCCCCTGTATGTCTGTCTGCCTGCCTCCCTCCCTCTCTGTCTGTCTGTCTGTCTGTCTGTCTCTCTCGCTGTTGCCGTCATCACCTCCGATTCGCACCAGCTCCTCAACTCCACCAGCTGCTCCCTGTGCGCCGTGTCGCGGTCCCGAGTGTCCGCGCTCGCCTCCTCCGCCTCTCTCTTTCCTTGCGAAAAGCGGTTATCCTGCCAAACAAGCAAGTCCACGGGGGACCCGCACCAGGCGTGGGGGGGGTGATACATCACCAGAAAGGGGAACAGGCAGTAGCCTCCCCGCTGCCACGCACGGCCTGACGCAAACATCAACCAGA